TCACACAATCACACAATCACACACAATCACACAATCACACACACACACACACACAAGAGCACAGGCACACCACGAAGCCAGATCCCAGTAGCAGTGACGTACCGATCGCATGAAGCGGTTGTGTGCGGCCCTCCACTGCTCTGGCGACGCGTTGTTCTGCCGCAGCCATTCGTGGAGCAAGCGATCGTTGAACGAGCCCGTCACACTGCCGTGACGCGTGTGAATCTCGCGCAGCGTCTTGGCATTCTTGATCATCTCAATGAAACCGCTGGTGGCGTCTGTCGGTCGAATGCGGAATGTGATCATGTGCAAATTCAGACCGCTGTCCAGCCACGTGCGGTGCAGGAACTGCACGAGTTGCATCACCAGCGTGTCCTGTCGCAGGTCGTCCCCGCACTTGAAGATGCACTCAACATCCCCGCCTGAAACGTTGGGTGCGGTGTGTGTGTGTGTGTGTGTGTGTATGTATGTGTGTGTATATATATATATATATATGTGTGTGTGTGTGTGTGTGTGGGTGTGTGTGAAACAGTGTGTGTGACATTCGAAACAGAGTGTTTGAAGACGTTTGGGATACCAAATACCATTGTTCACACGCACTGGCACAATCACACCTACACATCCAACATCTACACCACACATCACACAATGGGCACAAACCAAAACCACAGCTCTTCTCCTTCGCCAGCATCACAATGATCATCTGCTCAACGCACCGGCCTCGTCGGCGTTGTTGAAGACGAGGCGGAGTGGAATGGCATTGGAGGTGAAGAAACTGCACCGCTGCGCCTTGATGCCGCTCACTTGCATGCAGGCATCAAGTGGGAGATGGAAGCGTGCAGGCAGATCCCCGGCGAGATCCGTGAGCGCCGAGGAAAGCGCCTTCTTCCTCGCTTCACTACCGCTAATCGCAGCAATGCGCCGATGCACTGATTTCAGTCGGGCCACCAACGCCACCTGCCACGCCAGCTCACGCTGCACGCCCGTGGTCGCGTGTGCGAGCATCTGGTCGAGCAGCAGCTGGTACCGCGCGCCGCTGAGTTGGTTGTCGGCCTCGCACCGCAGCGTCCAGAACAGCTGCATGGCGATGCGCGGGCTGGTGCCGGCGCGGCGAACAAGCAGCATGCTCAGCTCGTTGCAGTGGAACAGCTCAAACTTCACCGCCTGCACCAGCTGCGGCAGGATGGCGGCAAATGCACTCGTGTCCATGCGCTCGATCCACGTGACGGCGGCTGCGCGGATGTTGCGGTCGGCAAACGACTGCTGCAGCAACTCCAGCGCCTGCAGCGGCGAAGGCGGCGCCCAGCTCAGGATGAGGGCCTCCAGCTCTTCAACCAGCGTCGGGGTGTGGCACACGGGGATGGCCTGCACCACACGCGGCAGTGCACGCGCGTCGCCCTGCAGGTCGCGCCGGAACATCCAGATCATCTTCCTGTCGGCCGGAGAGAGGCGATCGAGGGTGCTGTGGCGGATGATGGCCTGCGCCTGCGCCGCCACAGCCTTGAACGACGACCGCTCGGCAGCAGAGGACACGTCGATGGTCGCCGGGCGCACGTGGTTCGACGGGAACCAGCCCTCCCGGTCCTAATTGGACGATTTGGATTGGTTGGTGAGGAGGCAAGGGGAAGAGAAGGGGAAGGGGAGATGGTGAAAGGAACAAATCAGTGTTGTCATGGTGTGTACCTGTGTGTGTGTGTGTGTGTGTGTGTGTGTGTGTGTGTGTGTGTGTGTGTGCGGGGTCTCTCTCACTCTCACTCTCTCACACTCTCACTCACTCACTCACTCACACACACACACACACTCTCTCTCTCTCTCTCTCTCTCACACTCTCTCACACTCACTCTCTCACTCACTCACACACACACACTCTCTCTGCCCCTCTGTGCCTGTGTGATGCAATTGCTTGCAGCATGTGAGCTGCGTGAAAGGTCTGGTGCGTTTGTTCGTACCTCGACGCGCCCGTACCACCAGCCGCCATCTGGCTGCTTCACAACAACAATGGGCTGTCCGACATCAAACGAGAGCTCGTCCATGTTCCGCGCGGTGAAGCGGTACGAGGCCACCTGATGGTGCGCAGCCAGCATGTTTGGAGAACACACGCGCGTTTGGTACGTGAGCACGCAGACTTCGTCGACAACAGCGCTGCATACGCATGCAAGCACATGCCGACAAACGAACCCACGCACGCAGGTGAACGCGACAATGAACGCGCAAAGCAGCACACACACGCGCGGACACGAATCCTCGCACGCGCAGTTACACATGCACACGCACAAAATGGAGCGATCTGCTTGGGAGAGAGAGGGATGCTGGTTGCTGGGACGAGGAAGTGTTTGGTGGCGGCGGTTTTGGTGGTGGAACCTTCGTGGGCGTGGGCGCTTCAGCGGTGGAGGACATGGACACGCTGATTGAGGGCACAGACGTGGTGTCTGTGGCCGCGCTGGTGGTGCTCGCACGCTTGGCCGCGGTTGGTGAAGCCGACTCCTTTGGTTTGACGTAG